CTGACTGCATTTGTCTGTTGCCAACGTTTCCATAAACACCAAATGGTGTTTCTTTGGACGTTAAATTGTCTTGCAACATCACGTTGACTCGATCCTGCTTCAAGCATACCAATGGCTCGCAGACGCTCATTTTCGGACAGGCGTGGCATTTCGTAATGTTGAATAATTGCGTAATTTTTTGAGTGGTTGTTGTCAGCACGATGCTAAACAATGCATATGGAATCCGGTTAACGCACATGTTTTTATACTCATTCTTGGGTAGTGAAATGCATGGGGCTTGCACAAAAGTCAACTTTTGCATGGAATGCATGCTTTTCTGTAGTATTTTCCGTTTTTGTGACTTGATTCCATACATGTACTACAATATTGAAAGGCAAACTTTCCTTTGGAAAATACACTAAAATATTGGTGTCACAGGTGAGTGAGTGAACGAGTTGTGTTTCACGCCGCTTTTAACAGCATTCCAGTTATATCACGGCGTGTCAGCTTAAGGTGGGAGGAAAGCCCGAAGTAATGCAGGTCTAAGACGTTTACCACTTCGGTGAAACCCACGAGCACGGGTATGGTGCTGGCAAACCTAGAGACATAATCGGGGCGAATCGGGATTCGAAACCACAATCATAGGTTTCTGGTTTGCCCAAGGGACGCAACTCTGCACAGCGAATCGCGGCGCCTTAGACGACTGGGCCACCCGTGCCCCCTTGGTGTCACAGGTACTTTTGTTGTTGAGTATCTGTTTAATTATTTTTTTATGTTTGTGATAAAGAAATATCCATATGCAAGGTTATAGGAGTGTGTTTACTTTGTCAAGAATGAAAACAAAATGAAACAAGGCCTGGAAATTAAGTCCTGACCCCTTTTCAAAATCTGATGACTGTAATGCTTTTGCAAGAGTGATCAGTTGTCGAACATTGGTTTTTGTATTGCCAAAGGCTCCCTTCATTGGAAACAATCACCACACTTTTATATCAGAGACGGCAATTTCTCATCATGTCTTGGCTCCCGTTCTAAGGTGAACACTTGAATTTCCTTTGCCCGAAGGATGGGACAGGATACGCTCTCCCTTTCCCGTGCAACTGGTATCCTCACTATTTGATACTGATTCATGAACACATGTTTATGATTTAGTCGGAATCGTACAAAGTAGTCTTATTTTAGTTGGATTTCTTATCATTATGGCAATGGCCAATTCAATCTACCCCTCTATAAGAGTTCCTCGCACGATGTTTGAGAACCAAAAAATAATCCATTAACGTCGTCGCAACCTATATATCACCAGCAAGGCAAAGAATCACTGACATGTACTTGCATACAAAAACAACTTAAAGGGTTGTGGTCCATAAAATATAAATGGGGTAATCGATTAGATCTTTCCCACAACACAACAGCTACACGAAGAGACGAGGCGTACTGTATGTGGCCGTCTGTTGTCCTACATCTTTAAAATCTTAATGCCAGTCAGAAATAAATCCCTGAAATCTAACCGACATGTAATTTATAACTTCATGTACACACTAATGTCCTTTATTGTCGCATATGTAAGGAAATTATTTGCGATTCATGTCAACACAAAATTTCTTTTCCGACTTGCGCCCATGTGTTTCTGCTTAGTCATCCCAGTGATATTTTTCAATTTGCCTTGCCAAGTCATTTGACCACAATTTACATATAGCTTGTTTGGAAGCCTAACAGCTGTTTAATATTGTTTGCGTGACCTTATTAATACAGGAATCGAGAGGTCAACAAAGTTACAGTCAATGTTTTGTCATTCGTGTTTGTTTAAGTTATCATCCCTACAAGCCCGTCTAGTTTTAGTCGCATTGTTTCTTGTGGATCTCACCGCGCCTCAATAAGTGACCTATTTCATTTGTGATTCGAATTTCTTCTTAAACGCGAATTATGACAGCTGGTTATTTAAACATGAGAAATCTTGTTTTGTTTTTTTCTGTCGTTGACGTTTTATATTGCTAACAAAGAATGTCCACATTGGCAATCCTTCATAATATTTCTTTCTACTAGTATTATCCTGCTCAAATATTGATGTATTTGCAGAACAAAATAGGCGGATGGACCCCTGATAACACGTCATTCTATATAACGATTTGCCAACGCAACCTAGGCGATAAAATGGGTTTATAGGGGTTAACGTTGTTTGCTATCAGCTGTTTGTGGAGGGATTAACATTAAAACATAGACACAACTGATATTTTAACGATTATGTTTTAGGTGTTCAGCTTAAAGATTTACCCGTTATTATAACACCATAATAAGGGGCTAAGATTAATCTCTTTGTAAAAAATATCATTATTTAATTTTCGTTATTAAATTCGTTCCAACAACCCTTGTTATAGTAACATGAAGTTCTGTCATTTTCCACATCCTTATAAAGTACTTAATATAGAGGACTCATCAAATCCTCTTCAATAGTCAAATGGGAGTTGATTTCAGAATTATGTATTTTCAGTGATTATAATGGGTTCAGTGGACTTATACTCAATTGCTGACAGACAAATGTAAATAGGTTCTGTTGACATTATAACGATAACGTTTCAACAACATTTGCGAATAAGTGTCATTTGATTAGGAATCGCTGTTGGTTTGCTCTGCATTGAAATGTGTATCGCTGATGGGAACAATTGAGAGCTAATACCAACTACAAATTATAGTCATTTATGCAAACGTGTAGTGTGCTGTCGATCTTCTCAAACCTCTCCACGTAATATCCATTAATTGATATTTGGGTCTGGAACATTTCTGTGGATTGTAAACAGAGAGTGTAGGAACACATTATACAGTGTTTTGTGCATATGTCAATAGGATGAACTCTCCTGGGATATAACTGACAGTGTTGTATTTCATCAAAAATGTGATTCATATGTTGTAAAAACGTGCAACCAGAACTACGTTCATAAATGTCCTCTTTACTGTGAATCAATATTTGTTAAAAGGGAAAAATACTGACTCTTCTCCCAAAAATGTTTTTACACGTGTAAAAAGACAATTTATGAATAATATACCAGTATACTAACTAACATGGACATCACAACAATTTATAGCAACTTGTAAAACTTGAGAAAGTCTAATAAATATAGGTTAAAACAGTTATTCGTGGGTATGAAAGTAACTTCGGCTTTTCTGTCAGTAAATGTCAAACACGACTGGAGAAAGCCATTCTCCAGATATATCAAAAGGTCAACAAGGATGAAATAACGAAAAATCCAAATTTATCCTTTGCGCATTTCTTCGTGCCCTATTCTCCAAGGATGACAATAAAGAAACTGAATCAATCTTCAAAGCCAACACATCAATAGTTGAGATTTTTTCCTGTTAAAAAATGATTAATTGAATCCTGGAGCGTACAGAACATCCCATGAATGAGGTCTGAACCGCCTTAGAGCGACGAAAGGTGAGGTGAGGTGAAATTGGGTTCTAACGTCGCGTCCAAGATAATTTGCTTATATAGCGACGTGCATGCACGTGTGTGTGTGTGTGTGTGGCTGCTTGTACTAGTCCGGACTGATGCCGATTTATAGTGCTAGCCCACTGAGATACCATGCCGCAGTTTAACATGAATACCCCACTCAGACACAGTATACTGACTCCGAGCCGACCAGTCCTTGTTTTAGCCCCTGAATGCCGAGCGCCAGACAGGGTAACAACAAGTACCATCTTTTAACGTCTTTTGGTATGACGCGGCCGGGGATCGAACCCCGGCCCTTCCGCTATCTCTACCACTAGACCACGGAGGCGGTCAGAGCGTCGAAAGAACAGGGTCAGCTCATAGTGTGAGTTATGTCTGACAAGCATTTGTTAATTGTTATATTTGAAGAGAGTTAATCTGTCTGTGACTAATATTTCGGAATGGTCACTGCCATAACAACGAAGTTGTGTCCATTAGCATATTGATGGGATTGAGTTTATTTCATACTTAATCTATTTTTTTCAATATATATCTTATACGGAAACAACTTTCGCTTAAAGTATGTAAATAAAGACAAAAATCATTGAATGATTGGATGTGTTGAATTGGAACACGACGAAACAAGGTTTTGTTATATTCAAATATGAACTCAAGCGAATCGGTGATATTCGATCACTTACACAATATTAACTTTCATGGAAGTAGCATTTCGTGGCATATATAATAATAATATTAATATCAATACAGATACTACTCCACGTTTGATAGGGATGTCGTTTATATTTCCATGAAACACAAAACCGATTCTCATATGTCAATGGAGTAATATGTTTATATGAATGTGACATATCTGATCCTCCCTATCAAACGTTGGGTAGTATAGATTTCGAAGTCATGTGTGTATACCATTGAGTGACTACGCTGCAAACTTGCGAAAGCTTGACTGATAAAGCGTTTGTACTTATGTAAAGAGCAGACGATCAAACACAGCATTAATGTTCAAGATTAAAACATTTGCGTGTCTGTTGATAGTTTACTCCATCGACATGTTAACCTTTAATGCGGCACTTGTGCTTTGATCTTTCAATGGAAGTAACACAGTCGTTAATGTACTATTAGTCTATCAATGCACGGTGGCGTCATACCCCAGCCATTTGTCTTGGATGTGCGTTCGTCCACAGAACAGTATTTAAGTCGTGAGGCAAATGATGCACGTGTGCACCCTGATATTATACTGCTAACAAAATCTCCCTTACTGGCGAGTGTCACAACACTGTGTAACCTTGTAATTCTACCCCGAGGGATCAATGGACAGCATAAAATTTAGTATTCATGTGATAATGGAACTGTTACGCAAGTCACCCTTGGATCTGTCTAATTCGTCCACTTGTAACAGCCGTATATGTATTTGCCCTACCATCTTGATTTACCATGATTGAAATGTTAGTTTTGAATGTACAGCGAAACAGAAGGTCATATTGTAGTGAAAGATATGCATTTTCAACTCACACAACCATCCGCGTCTAACATCACACTCCTCGTAGTCATGGTTAATTGAAATAAGGTATAAGTCTGAGGGTTGTTATCCTATATTTAATAAGGTCACCTTTATATCACACATTCCGAATCCGACGCTGACGCCTTTAGTTCAAATGTGATCTCAGAAGAATCAAATCAATGATTTACACGTCTGAAATTTTAACACAACAATGGGTTTAACATGTCTAACTTGCGTGTGATCACATTAAAACTCAAAGGTTATCAAGTTGTGCAAGCATACATGTAGGTCATAATATACCATGTATACGCTCTTTGGTGCGAGTACGCCTTCCTCAAAGTGATGTACAATGTGTGTTCTGTTTCAAGTCATTGAGACTACTAACATGAAGAGACAAGCAAAGCGATACTGACATTACAGTTGTCCTAATGGTAGCAGTTGCTTTAATCTTTAATGCTACGTCTGGTGTTACAGATGATGAAACACTTGACTGAAATATTCAACACAAGAACGGTACTGCTGCGAATTGCAGCCATGATGACTCATCTTCACCAAAGAAGAGTATATCTGAAGAAGTGTACATGCGCCTGTAACTAAAGGAGCTTGAGAATATACATGATTACACATGATTACACATGATTACACATGATGTGCTGTGTTGTGGAAACAAAACTGCTACTTTCCTTTCATTTGTGTGTTATTGCAACGAGGCATTAAATGAAATCCAGCATCAGACAGACACATTGGAATGATTTGCACAATGGACTCCGCGTTTAGCAGACTGGATGCTTTCTAATGATTACGGAAAGCGTTTGTCGCTTTAATTCCAAACATAAAAAAAATAATGTTTTGCATCTTGGTGAACACCATGATGTTGGAGTTCAGTAAAGTGTACTCAGATAAATAAAAAGACAACTTTCGCATGTGTAAGACAATATTAAGACAATAAGCAGTCTTTATACTTCAATTGACGGATTAGTTTCTATGGCAACCTCATAACTATAGCTTATAAAATAAATGTAAATGAATGATATATGTTTCTAGAAAGACATTTTACTTCTAAGTGTCAGCAAAACCAACAAAAGGAAAGCACTATCACTTTTGGAGTTAATTTCAGGTCCATTACATATAAGACATCACCATATTACAAAGAGAATGACTGACATACAGACACGTGAGTGTAAGTAAAATATCCATGAACAAGCTCCACAGATGTCCCGACAACTCTATCAAATGAAATGGTACTACATTGTAACACTACAGACATCTGAATCACTTAAGTACTTCCAAAGACGCACATGTCCATAATGCCTCACCCATCGTTTGGTCACAAAGTTTAGTGTCAGTCGGCTGAACTTTCGTTGTCTCCATTAAACATATCGTTTTACTTGTTTCGTGACCATGACCCCAACAATCGTCCTCAAATATGGTCACAGGTCAGTTACAAGTACCGTCCTTGGAGATGTATCATCATCACTGTCCTCGTAGGATATTGAAGTCAATGTGTGGAAGGCTCGTATTGCTACCTTGTTCACGTTGTGCTCTCTCTCAAGTCTTTTGTCTGGCATTCCCTTGAAGAAGGTTTCAAGGTTAACCTCCTCCTCCAGCTCCTTCTTCTCCGTCCTGAGGTACTGAACTATCATCACAACCACCCCAAATGAATAAAACATCAACACAGCCACTATATAGATCACTGCGCCATTATCCGAATTTTCCGTTCCAGGTTTGGTGACGTTTTCCACTTGATCTTTGTTTTGATTATTGTTCAATGCAGTCACACAGTTTGGAAACATTGATGCCAGGAGTACTGACACGCCGGTATTATTTGTCATCTTCATTGGAATAGATTTAAGATAAGTATGAGACGAGTACAAAATATAAGTATTCCGGTGGAATACTTTTCTTGTTATTTATTAAACAAATAAACACGCGTCAGTGTTTATTGTTAATCTGCACGCATGCGCTACCTCTGACTTTGATGTCAATTCCTTTCATTAGAAGCAGACTATAGCTTCCCTGAAGTCCCACAGTTGCCGTCTTGCCTTCTGTGTTGACTCCTTAATGAAGTTGCAGCCGTCTGATTTCAGGCAGTAAAGTCGAGGGGTGACTGACACGTTGTTGTAGTGTGATAATGCGTTTATGATAGGTTAATTGTTTCATTGCAGGTCTATTTGTTCAAGACAACAATAGGAACTGTAAGGACATTTCGATCAATATCTTTACTGGAAGAATCATAAGTCAGCATATTCTGTCATAAACCACATGTTGTCCATTGGTGGCACTCTTAAACAGGGAGGATATCTATTAAGAATAAGCCGAGTTGAACTCTTGAGAACAAGTCTGAGACGAGCACAACGTGTCAGACTGGTGGTGGGCGTAAATAATTCATTCTGTGAATGCTTGGGGTATTATAGTAGTTTCTTTCTTTGTAGTTGTGCTACAGTTTGACGTAAACCAATGTCGATTTCAGCCCTCAGATGTCCCTTGATGCTGAAACGAGAAATTAGAGAATGCAGTTCACAGTTTCCCAATCGACAGAGTAACAGAGGGAGCGTTCGAAGACGTGGAAGCAACCACAAACGTCTCCTTTCTCTTTTATAATAGAGACGGGAACGATCCAGTTACCACTTTGTCAGTAATTCCCATTATTACAGACACATGATTTTTGATAACGAAAGTAGTCCCTGTAATACCACAGAATCGAAATGAAATCGGTCATTCGATATTGAATAATGCTTTCAATGAGATGGTTGACATTTGCGGCTATCTCCCCATTAGGGTTGGCAATAGATCACAAATAAATCACACACCGGGACGTAACAGCGAGCCTACGAGGCGGGATGTCACATGTGACCTTGTGTCTACAGGTATGAGCATGAAAAGCAATAAACCTGGATCGGGAATCGGAGTGATTTAGTCCAGGCTAATGTGGAGGCACAATTAAGCCAAGAAGGAAACAGTCTGACATACACCGCTGAATGAGATGTATTTACCATTATTAGGTATGAGATTATGGTTGGTTGTGGCTGATGGATTTCGTCTGGTATTCTCTGGCACCTTATGGGAAAACAGACAGACATATTGTTTATTTGAGTCTCACCTCACAAAAAATATTTACATATACACACATAACAGGACATATAAGTGAGCCATCCGTTAAAGGTTGCGAGAGACTTAAAATATATCACAGTATATACAGCATAAATATATTAGTGTAAAAGGGGTGTATAAAATATACTACCCGTCACCAGCCATATAAAATATTTTTTCTTCGTTGGAGAATTAAAAAGCAGGCTTTGGCTGTAAAATATACATAATATTTAAAACGTACAATAGGTTTATTAGTATTGCATAGTTCTAGAAAGTTGGGATAGCTAAAACTGACCACTTTTGTATAAACTCTCACGCAAATCGTCGTACACAGGGCAATCCAGCAATACATGACATTCATCCTCAATACTTTCCTTACACTGAAAACACACTCTTTCATTCACATTCAGTATCTTGGTCTAATCTAAATTTGGAGAAGGCAGAGCGGTAAGAACATCTTTAAACATTCTATACGTACGTAACAGAGTCGTCATCAAAACACAAACTTGACGAGGAACATACAACAGATCGAGACCGTGTACATGTAGTACGCCGTATATGCACTGATGCAAACTCAGTAGATGTTAATTAGTACAGTGTACTTTTGTCTCAATTGACTAATCGACCCTTTGAATGGACTTCAATTACACCCTTGTTTGATACCACTGAGTACACTTATTGATAGTGACGCAACTCGTTCGATAGGTAACCGTAACACAACAGTGGTCTAATTGACATTGGGCTGATGAAGCTAAGCAGTTTTCTGGGTTTTTTTCGGAATAGAATGTGTGTGAATGCGTCCGCCGTGGTAGGCGATTATGATACGTATCGTTGTTGTTTGCCAATAACGGGTCCAAATCAAAAGTAGTTTGTTCTCATAAATAAGACGTAAATTCAATGAAGGATTTCGCGTCAGTGCATGTGCATAGCTTGTTTTATTAAGCGAGTCCACGTTTGATATAGTTTTTTTAACGCGTTTATTTCAAAACATATCTAACAAGAGGAAGCACGAGTTGTAATAAAAACGGTATCTGGTGGGGACGTGTAGTCATTTATTTATTATTCTCGTAAATTTTGAACATTATCTAAATTCAACGTTGGAGAAAGACGGCATAAAGATGACGCGGAATCCAAAAGACATAGCTGGTGATTCGACCGTGGATTGTTTTCTCAAGGTGCGACCTGGCAATACAGTGCGCAGTTTTATCCGAAATCGATTAAAAGATAATATATGTCTCTTTATGAATATAGTTTTACCACATACATGTACATCATCATGTTAGAAACCTCTCCATACAATGGTAAAATCTATCTTCATTATATTAGACTTGGTTCAGTTGGACCCGCTTATCACCCATGTGTCATATCATATTGGCTATGTGTACATATGAGTCAGGGGCGGCGGGGTAGCCCAGTAGTTAAAGCGTTCCCCGTCACGCCCAAGACCCTACATGGACACAATGTTGTGAAGCCCATTTCTGGTGTCCCCCGTCGTGATATTGCTGGAATATTGCTAAAGGCGGTGTCAAACTATACACACACTCACTCATACGAGTCAGCATATGGTTTATCCGTTGAAATTGATTCTAATGACAGTTAAGCTACACCATTTCATTACAAGAAAGATTCACGACTTGAGATTGCATAGGGTGACGTTTGTTGCAACTGTCCACTTTGTCCAAAGGAGGCTACTTTCATTTGCAACACGGAGAAGGTCGTAAGTAGACACGGCGATTGAGCCTAGTGATGATGCTTAGATATCCTGTTTTGTTTATTAGTGATGTTTTGAATGTTTCTAGTGCACTACTACAATATAACAGTGAGAATCCATATAATGTCTCTATTTCAAACGTATCTGTTTGCAAGGAAAATATGTCTGTTGTATAGCGAATTTTGAGATGCAGGCATAGTATTGCATCTCTGATGTTGTGTGAATTATAGTAGTGTCTTTTTGGAAGGAGACTTTCCGTCTAGGAGCTGAATAGACGCTGCAGCGTACAGTTGAACCGTGCAATCGAGTAACGGTGATGTGAGGGGGATAAAACACGTTTAAGCATGCTGTATTTATATAAGATGATAAATATGATAAGAACAATCAGCCTAAATGATGACAGAGTAATTTGTATTTGTTAAATCCCAATCTGAAAGTTTCCCTTAAATGCACTTATTTTCAATTACAAATCATTTATGGGAGATGTCTGAAATCGAAATAGCATTACTTTAATCACTGAATGAAAGGGACTGCTGAAACAATGTAGACATTAATGAAGGTTTGTCTGGTTCGGCTTATTGATTACACGTCAAGGTCGATCAGCAGCTAAATAACTCATATCCTGTATGTCGACCAAAATCCCAGACAATATCGCCACAAGATAAATAATTAAACTCAACTTCATCATAAAGTGATTGATTCGACTCTCACAGAGAGTACAGCCGATATTTATCAATCACACCAGTGCATCTCAACATGACCATGAAGCCATCGCTGGGCCTAGCACTGAATTTCTGTTTTATTTACCATTAACATTATAAATTGAAAATAAGCCCCAAGGATAGGCTATATCCATGTAATTCCTTCCTCCGGGTGACAACAAGGATTCACATTAGTCCTTTATCCCTAATCATATTTGAGTCGGACATCAAGATGATCAAGCGGAATGACATTTTATTTCCGACAGAATTACAGTCGGCCGCTCCTTCATCCACAGTTACTTTACAGGTTTCTGTTTGCATTACTGAAACCTGTGGCATCTTGAGCTTAATCCGTAACCACGCTTGTCATTGTTAGAGTGAAGGAAAAGGCACGATATGAACGGTAATCGCATTAGGAATGCTGTTTATTTATGCACTCTACTATGGTGAAATGAATCCGAAATAACTGTTCCAGAAGATGTTCACAGTGAGAAGGGGTGATTCATTTTCAGGCTAAAATGTAACAACACATATATATGGCTCAGTGCTGTGAGTATCTTTCTAAATGCGTCTGATGACGTTACTGACAGTTTCTGTGGTTATGTAGGCAGAAAGGATAGCAAGTCAAGTTTCACATGATGTTTATATTTATACAAAGCCCAGTAACAGCTGATAGACTGTTCACTGACTGGTACATGTTATGGACTGATAGTCAGATCAAAGAAAGTTTGTTTTCTTTATTGACGGCTTATTTGAGATGTTCCCTCACACAAGATCTATCTATCCATCCATCCATCCATCCATCCAGTCATTGACATCATGAGTATCGATCTACCCAAATGGGAAGCGATGCCATGCATCAACCAATTCATCAGCCTGACCACCAAATCCCGTTAGTCATCCTAACGACAAGCATGGGTTCCTGAAGACCAATTCTAACCCGGATCTTCACGGGGTGGTTATAATTAAAGTCCATAAGGCATCTAGTATATGTGTGAGCACAGTCCAGATACGCAATGCAGTTATTTTAATGATTTGCAAAGCATGTCTAGAATCATTATTTCCCTTTCTGTCTCATTAATGAAACTAAACATGAACACCATGAATCTGTAACCAAGAAAGAATTATAAAAGCATAATCTTAACACGACTTACCCAAATGGAAGAATTGTATATCCAAATATCTGAAATACATGTGAGGGAGTAAACACAGCAGGTTGAACGATGACTCTGTGGTCACAGAAACAGACGAACGTCCAATCAATTCCTTACAAGTTACTTTGAAGGCGAAAGCCCTCCATATCAATTAGTGTCAGTAACCACAACCTTACACAGTCATTAGCCACATGCTTTGTGTTGTTGGTTACTTAGGACAAGGTATTGACCAAATGAATTGTATCTTCAAGGCCTTTTTCTATATGATCTTTGATACTTATTCTTGGATTGGTGGAACCAGTGAAGTGTAAATCATTATTCCTCATCAAAGAAATGCAACTTTGAGACTGGATGACACAAGGAGGGATGGGAAGATCAATAGAAATCATTGTTCATCAATAGACATATGAGCTGCAACAACGCAAATACAGCCAGATAATTACCATAGACCAGAATGTGTTGATGAAAAGTACACGGATAGTCGTTAATTAAGCAAGATTACATTTAAAGGTGTCTCACCTTCAAAGACATCAAGAGTATGTGGTCACCATCACAATGCGCCCACTGTCGTCTTCGTAGATGTGCCAAGAGCAACAAATTGGGCTGGCACAATCTCCAAGAATGTGCTTGCACCTGTCTCCATCATATATTCCTATCTGTCACAAGGATCGTTCCGAAGCCAGCTATGAGACAGCGAGGCCCCAGTCGATCGATTGGATCACGGCAGCAAACACCTAGTCAGGCACACACAACGGCCCGTGATCGCGAAAACCATATGTGTTGAAATCAGTCAAGCTAGATAGTGAAACTTCATCTGACAAGTCAATGCGTCTGAAAGGTGTGGAACAAAGTGGAGAGGAAACCACTCCTTCCCTACATCTCGGTACATCCATGCCCAACACCACCGCTACTGTTGCGAGAGGTTGGGTGCTGTCTGATGGGCGGCTTAATGCAGTACATCAAACTCTGAGATTAGGTAGAGCGTTCCATGAAAAGAATCAATAATTACCCGAGCATGTTTATCGAAAATCAAATTGTCCTTTTCAGGACTTGCGTTGCATCATTGTCCCGAATCCCAGTTTGCCCAGTTCAAAAGAAGGAGGGGAGGGGGAGTGTTCGCATAACGTGTCTGGTCTCCAGTGTTGAATCAATATATCCCCCATGAGAGCACTAGTAAGAGGGGGGTTGCTCTCGTCTTTGTCAGCTGTTCACTTCTTTGACTGGGACAAAGTGAAATTCACGATTCAACCACACCTCAATAATGCGAGATGCATCGACAGAAGTCGGAGCAGAGAGTACTTCAGGTGAACTTCACGTTTTCTACAGCAAATACGCCAGGAGTTGTCATAGGATATTGGAATGATAATGGTCGTAAGTTAAGTGGAATTCATGTTTCGAGGATGAAGGCTCAAATTCCTACCATAATGAAGTCTATAAAACTGTCTGTCTAATGCTGGCTACTGTCACTGAAGTGAGTGAGTGAGTGTGGTTTTACGCCGCTTTTAGCTATATTCCAGCAATATCACGGCGGGGGACACTTGAAATGGGCTACACACATTGTACCCATGTCGGGAATCGAACCCGGGTCTTCGGCGTGACGAGCGAACGCTTTAACCACTAGGCTACCCGACTGCCCCTGAAGTAAAGCTTCTATGATGCCGCGGCATCAATGTCATACACCACATAAACTTTTCTTTGTTTGTTTGTTTTTTAACGCCGCACTTAGCAATATTCCAGCTATATGACGGAGGTCTGTAAATAGACGAGTCTGACCAGACAACCCCGTGATTGACATCCTGCGCATCGATCCACGCAATTGGGATCGATGACGTGCATCAACCAAGCCAGCGAGCCTGACCACCCGATCCCGTTAGTCGCCTCTTACGACAAGCATAGTCGTCTTTTACGGCAAGCATGGGTTGCTGAAGACTTGTTCTACCCCGGATTTCCTCGGGTCTAAAGAAATGTGATTGTTTTGAAACACAGTAGGTGGCAATTTGAATGTCTCTGTCCAAACTATTCTTTTGTAGTTGACTCAGCAAAATTGATAAATGCTACTGAGCTTCACACGCCATTTCTAAAAGTGACTCCTTTATAAGAAATAATGCAATCGACCACTTCTTATGACTGCAAGACGGCACCTGCTACTATTCTGTTTATATCTTGGTCATTTCCTTTCAAAGAACATGCTGAAGGTCAGAATTCGCCTTATTATAATCCTTGGTTTGTCAGCAACATGCCCTGCTCATGGATTTCGACATAGTGGTAAATGTCTACGATGTGTATCAATTTGGAATTTCTTAACAATATAATGGGCGTTTCGTCAAGCCGAAAGCCCTGGTTCGATTTCCCGCATTGGTGCAATGTGTCTAGTGTCATCCGTCGTCACTGTGCAGGAATATTGCTAAAAGCAAACACGCAGTGATCGTATTGTTCAAGTATCATTCAAGTCGACGTCAAACAAAACTCACTCTGTTATTCCACGCAATGTGTCAAATAAATAAACTTAATTTAACGATTAACGATCAAGTGAAAAGAACAATACCAGTGTTTAAATGCTTAATATATTCTCAGATACTCGGCACTCCCTGAAACTAAAATGTATTCATATTTATTACTAGGGCCTTAATAAGCGACGTCGCCATGAAATAAAGAATGGAATAATACAACTTGCATCATTTCTGCGTCAATAAAATTGAAACCTGACAACATTAATCGATTGTTTAACTATTTTGTTATGTATTTTATTTACGAAACGGATTTAGGAAAGACTATACTAAACTCAAAACATACAAGTACATGTGTTTATTTGCCAGGAAACGGTACTTGTAATTCACCTTCAAGTTTTGATTCATACAGCTTTTATTTACATTGTATATTATTCCTGCGGCATTACAGCGTAAGGTACACCAGGCATGATATATTACATCTAAATCCAACAGCTTTGGTTTACATTACCATTTCATTAACGGCAAAGAAATTCATACTGCATTGAAAGTATATGTAGCAAACGCCATTGTCAACGCCAGACACTCAGTTTCAATATCTCCATTATCCAAAATAAACTTTACCAAGTCGTAAATGAAAGGGCCTGAAAACCTATTTAGCAGGACCAATACAGGTCCATTTTACGATTCCGACTATAAGAATGTGCCTTTGAATAACTATTGAATAGTGAGGTAACAGGTTTTCGCGAAAAAGGGAGCGTGACGAGCCCGACCGGTGGCACCCGTCACAAACACATGCAAATATAAGTCAATTGGTCACCTAAAAAAACCCGAGGAATTATGTCTTCCATATGTCTACTATAGATCGTTTTGAAAGCTTTAGTATACCACGTCACTGTAGACGCGCATGAATATTGCCCATGCACTCTTGGTATAAATTGCAGCTGTGGCATCGTGGCTGCAGAACATCGAGAGGGAGCCATACGTGTAGGTATGATACAGATGTGAGGGCCTTCCATTTTGTTCGTGTTGCCCTCACAAACGTTGACGTCTTGGAAACCTGATGCAACGGTTCTGACAGACAGTCCAAGAACGAGGACTCCGCGGTTCACATTCCATGACAACCGACGTCTACGAACACTCCATGTACATGTATGTAAACGCTTCCTGACACTGACGTCATCAGTGACAAATGCGGTAGGCCATAGAGTGAGCCGACGGAAGACAGAAAGACGGAAGATTGAGTGCGCAATCTGAGCCCACAGACCATACCGGTGACCAAGGCTGAGAGCGCAGCATCGGAAACGTAGAGTAAGAGTGAAAGTGAGACAAAGATGGGCCCCGACTGTCCGACGATGACAACTGCGTAATTGACTAACGAAGCAAACAATATCTACTCGTTACCCTGTCCCCACTCTCCATACATCTCTGGGATCATTTGGCCCGATGTGGTCCTCGCCCACCATCCACAACAGCTGCTTCAGCCTCTGAAGGAAGGATGCCGACGCATCCCGCATTGCGTCGTAAGGAGACTGACGACATTGATGCGACGGAGAATTAATGCTCCCATCCTGGCATGGAGAGGTCACACGCGTTTAAGGACACTTACCAATGATACGGGTATACTTAGCGTGATTTTCATTACCAAAGCGTGTGTGTAAGAGAACCTGAAAATGTTGATCCAAAAGTCTTATTTACCACTGGTTTCGCACCGAAAATACGTACTCATAACGTTTTGCCTGTCATATTTGATATTTTGTCTGTAGCGATACCCCACGCAAAGTTTCGTTTGGGTTTAAGTTGTTTATTGGCTTTGTATTTTTTTTCTTTACAGCAGCCATATATACACATATTTACATTCAAGTACATTTTTCATGTTGAGTCAAGTACATGTTTATTCATACATATGATTACTGATTAATGGTAAAGGTAGATCTATGTTTACCTGAACATTACATATGCTGTGCTGCTATCTACACGAATGCGAACTCCAATTCATCTGCTCTTCTGTGACCACGTACATGTATAATGTATGACGTGGAGTCGCGTAATACGAATATTCCACATTAACTCTTGTTCATATGTTCATACAACAGAATATACTATTACCCAACCGTATACTCCCTGCAAAACTAACTGCAATCGCCAGCAAACGACAAGCGTGTACATTGTTGATGATTTTATGCGATTATAATAGTCGCTAGCAACAACTGTACCGATACCTTTGTAAAGTTTAAATGTGGTAGTATTTCTAGGTACATGGGTGCTGTTGTACAAAACAACCTTGGCGCTTGTCGTAAGTCAATGTAAAGGTATGGCTGTTACGATCACCTTATCGCTGAGATCGCTCTGTACAACGGCACCCTGCATGATTGTCAAAGCCACTTTGGATTCCCAGTATCTTATGATGCTCCTCAGTATGACTGATGCTTCTCATTCAGAGCGGATCCTATTCACCATCTCCTGACCCTACCCAAACCACCGTCCCCACTACCCGACCTCCATCCCTCGTCCCCATCCATCCGTCAACACCATCGCCTATCCCCAGCCCCTGCCCTCCATCGCCAGTCCTCGTCCCTCGTCCGCCTACCCCCCACCTACCCAACTGGGAGCACGGGTGGCCCAGTCGTCTAAGGCGCCGCAATTCGCTATGCAGAGTTGCGTCCCTTGGGTACGCCAGAAACCTATGATTGTAGGTTCGATTCCCGTTTCACCCCGATTATGTTTCTAGGTTTGTCAGCACAATACCCGCGCTCATGGCTTTCACCGAAGTGGTAAACGCCTGAGACCTGCATCATTTCGGGCTTTCCTCCCACATTAAGCTGACACGTTGTGATATAACTGGAATACTGTTAAAAACGGCGTTAAACCCAATTCACTCATCACTCACCATCCCCCGCCCACCCTTCCAGCATCAATCCGCCAACCGTCCCCTGTCCTCCTTCTCCCGCCCCCCGCCTGCTCGCCCAACGTCAATCGTCCCCATCCTAACATTTGGCTGTTCATCCCACATACACGCACACAGACTGTGGTAAGTCGCTTGGTGATATTGATTTTGAAAGAAAACTCCGAGTGAGTTGCGTTCAAGTGAATTGCTATGTGCGCTATACATATTAGCGTCATACATGTACAGCTATATGGCGAAACATGCAGGTATAGTTTAACCCAAGGCGGTTGAATGTTTAGTCACAACGGTACTAAGAACGGGACAATGAAATATTCTAAAACCAAGTATGCTTTAAATTTTGTTCTTGGTATTAAGACTACGCTGTTTGGTGCCTAAAATAGTTTGAAAAAGCATACCCGCCTAAAAAACTACCATTATCTTCTCTATTGATTACGTCAATATTTAACATGTTGTTTCTCGTTTTGAAAGACTGACGACGAGATTGCATCGTTGTCGTAACCTTGACGATTCTGTACCACTATACGCTCTCTGTCCTCAATTGTTATACTTCAGTGTGGCTGAACCTAACAAGATCGATGGAAAATACGCCCTTAACAGTTTGCATGTATGAAGTATACTACTTTCAAGGCTTACAGGCTGCATTTGAACCAAACCCGCAAACACGCAGCGTATTTCAGCAGGCATCATAATTACTAGGTGAATGTAGACAAAATTACCTACCGCGTTGTCATTAA